CCACCTCGCCCGGCTGTGTTTGGCTTTTTTAAGTTTAATGTTATGTCACAAGAATTAGGATTTTATTATTAGGTCTAAATACTCCTAATTTTTTTCTCATTACCAAAGTGTTTATTTTAGAAAAAAATTTAAACTATAGATAAGCAAACAGAAAAAGTTGCCTCTCACGATGTTTCTATCCTTCTAAGTGGAAAAATTCTTCAAATCATAGACCGTGTCTTATATCTCTTTTCTACTCTTCATCATTCCTGGCTGCCTCAAAGATGAATTTCTGAATTATGGAACATCTAGGAATATGACTTCTTCCTTTGCCTGTTCTTTAAATATGTGAATAACAATGATTAGACTGTTTCAGTCTTGTTTTAAGCATTGAAGAGTTAACGGGAGATACTTTGTCATTATGGAAAGAGTATATATCAACTTTGAGGTCTAATTTTGGTTCCACTACTTTGTTTCTTAACTTTCTTTGGACAGAATACTCCCCAAACATCTATATTCTTATTAATTCAGCAAATATTTAGGAAGCTGATAGGTTTGGGTGCCAAGCTATATGTTAGAATATGTAGATGATCAAATATATTTTCTAATTACTTCTTAAAGCTTTTGGAAGTAATCTAATCTCCCAACATGATAATGCAAAACAGTGCCATTCAAAGCTATTTATCAGTAAACTGTTAGTGGTCTAGCACCAGAATGCTCTGTACTCCCTTCCTTGTTTGCCAAAGGCCAATGTCTCGGCTTGGCACCAGAATCACGAGCCACCACACACCTTTGTAGGTTCAAACAGCAATTCTTTATTCCCGCTCTCACACCGCCTCCACACAGGTCCAGGGGCAAACGTGTTCTGCTGTCTCCCACACAATTCACCGACCCCACGAGGCTATCTCCAAATCCTATTTTAATCTCACGAGAACTCAACGGGAACAAGCAGCGGGAACACCCTAATCCCAGCAATAATCTTCAACCGCCAACTTCCCTAAAACCCATTATCTTAAACTGGCAACGCCTTAAACTCAAGGAGCCGGTTACTTCCTCAAACCTGATCAGCTCTAAACCTAGATCTGCCTTGGTCCTTGAGCAAGGTCACCTTATTAAAGCATGCATGCAATGTCCCATCGAATGTCCTCTAAGCAGCATGGGGTACGCTTGGCAAGGAAATTTCGATGCGTCATTCCTACTTGGTAATGGCCCTCAGCACTTGTTGAAATTTTATTTGGGGCAGGGGAGAGATAGCTGAACTAATTGATTTACCCTCCACACAAACCCAAATCACACTGGACCTAGGTATACTTTATTTGGTATGAGGTAATCTACCACCTAAATAACTACCACCTAAATACAAATTGTTTTCTACTGTTTTTTCTTTGTCTGTTTATAGTTCTATTATTATTTTCTTTAATTTCTTGGACAGTTTCCTTCCAAGTCTCTTCATTATAGAGTTTTGTCTTTTTACCTAATTGAAATTTTTAGGTATGGAAGAGTTAATTATGTCTTGGCTCGAAGAATAGAACTTTTAGAAGAAGTCAAACGGCTACAGAAGAGTCTGGGCGTTCCAGGAGATGCCTCATATACTTGTGAAACTGCAGGTTATTTCTTCTTATATCAGGTAATATGTTAAAGGTTTTTAAATTATAATTAATTATAATATGGTCCCCAGTTGAAAATTGGAATGGATCCCTAATATTCTTCTTGAACGCTTATTTTGTTTTTCTTGAGTAGATTAAAATATGTGGTACTGCCAGAGCTATATTTATAAATGTTAAGTATTTGTATTTTTTATTATTTTCAGTTTTTCTTTGCTAAATAACTTTGGTTGATGACTCATTCAGTGGAAGGCCAGTGTTGGCAAGGTTTAAATTTTTTCTTTCTTGCCTTTACAAAGTTTCACGCCTCTCTCTCTCCTCCCTCCCTTTTCCCCCCTCTTATTACTATAGAAATCTAACTACATTTTCTAGCCTCCCAGTGGTAACAAAGTACAGTTCTATAATTTTACTATCTCATTAATCAACTAATGAAGGAAAACATATTTTTCTTTCAAATCTCCCAAAATAAATTATGTCTTAGAACTAATTACACAATGGGACTGTAAATTAAAATTTCTGTTGACTTCAGTTTAATGGCATGCTATTACTTTTATCAAGGTTAATATTTTTTGAGTATAAAAACCAGTGAGAAATAGCCAAATAAGATAAATAAAAATAAATTTTATTAATTGGGTTGCTAATAATTCTAAATGTATTAATAATCTAATAATGAATATTTTATATGTAATTTATTCTCTTTATACTAATACATTTTAGATACAAATCATAACATTGAAATATGAAAGAATAGGCTCATGCTCATTCTGAGGAAATGGACAAGCCAGTTGATGCATTCAAAATGAACAGATTTCATGGTTTCTTGAAAAGCAAGGAAAACATGCACTGTCTTGCAAAGAGGTTTACACTCGACTTAGACTGTTTAGAATTTTGAAGAATGGAAAAAAGATCATGCTTAAATGCCTATTTGACAGGAAAAAAAATCACTTGTCTCTCAGTAAAAACTACTTTTAAAAATAGAAATAATGGGGGCTGGGGTTATGGCTCAGTGATAGAACGCTCGCCTAGCATGCATGAGGCACTAGGTTCGATCCTCAGCACCACATAAAAATAAAAAATAAAGATATTGTGTCCACCTAAAACTAAAAAATAAATATTTTTTAAAAAATAGAAATAATGTATAAATTTTAAAAAGGTGAACTTGAAGTTTCACAGTGTAGATCAACAGTTTGCAGCATAAAAGAATTATATCAGGAAAGCTTTTCACAGGGTCAGTTTCTAAGCCCTGTCCTAAAAGCATTCAATAGGGGTGGGAATTGTGTTTTGGGGGGTTTTTTGTTTCTTTTTTTTTTTTTTTTTTTTTTTAGCTCCTCAGTCTGCATAAGGACTACACTTTGAGAAACACTAAAATTATAACAGAAAAAGACCTGGGAGAATTATAAAAATTGAAGTTAAGTAGAAACTGGCTGGTAGGTGCGTAGCTGACTTTGTACAAGGATGTAATTGAACTGTATCACATTAGTCATAAAGTGTGCTTTCAAATATATACTCAATCAGAAGTTCTTTATAAATGTTCTAAAGAGATTTAGGGAAAAAATATAAAGGTTTAAGAGAGAGTATACCTGCCCTCCCTTCTTCTCCTGTCCTCAAGTCCTGAAATGACTTTAAGTTTCTTTCCAGTTTCTACATTTTTTATTAAAGATCCTTTTTTTATCTCCTCAAATTCTAAGGTTACTTTTTTTGAAAGAAGAGTAATCTATCAGTGACTTGGAGGAGAAATAGTTATATTGGGCCAAAGATTGCATTTATTCCCTTTATCCTAGCAGATCTTATTTTTACTAGATTTATTTTCAGTTTTATCATTTAAAACATATTCCTGGCAAAATAAATTGCAAGTGTTTTTTCCTACAGGTAATGTCTCGTTGGGAAGAATATATCAGTAAAGTGAAAAATAAAGGTAGTACATTACCAGATGTTATGGAAATCTCCACTTTCTTCCCTTTCCATGAATATTTTGCAAATGCTCCTCAACCCATTTTTAAAGGCAAATCTTATGAAGAAGATATGGAAATTGCTGAAGGATGTTTCAGACATATTAAGAAAATCTTTACTCAGCTTGAGGTAAAGATTTTAATTTTCCTTTAAAGATTCTTAATTTTATTAGTATTTTGTCTAATGAAGTAAATGTGGAATATTCAGATGTTACAAGTCAGATTGTTACTTTTAAGTAAAATTATTAAAAACACATTTATAATTTTGTTCAATAAATAAGCAAAAATTAAGATGAATCGTATCCTCATTATTCTGGTTTTTTTTGGTATAAAGATATTAGTTCTTAAGAAAGAAATGCTTTCACCAATACCCCTACATCCCTCCACACCCCCACACCCCTCCCACCCCACCCCCATTTTGGTGTTGGAGATTGAACCCAGGGCCTCAACACGTTCAAGGCAAGTAGTTGAGCTACAACCCCAGCCCCAACAATAGTTCTTTGAGAATTTGAGACTACCACATGGCCATTCTTAGTTTCTCATACCTCTTGATCGATAGGCAAAAAGTGAGATTTCAGTGTTAGCTGGGACAATTGATCATGGTATTAAAATGAAATAAGAATCATCAATACACAGAAGAAACAGAGAAGAGTACATCTAGAACCCAGGGTCCCCTGGAATGTCTTTCTATAGCAACATCATTGGAAAAAGACAGCAATTATATAAAATATGTTGGGCTGGGGATGTGGCTCAAGCGGTAGCGTGTTCGCCTGGCATGCGCGAGGCGCTGGGTTCGATCCTCAGCACCACATAAAAATAAAATAAAGATGCTGTGTCCACCGAAAACCAAAAAATAGATATTAAAAAAAATTCTCTCTCTCTCTTTAAAAAATATGTTAATAATTAAAATTTTAAACCTGCAAAGTGGTGTTTTATTTTATTTATGATTCAGTAAACACAAAGTCAAAGTGAAGAACATACTCAATTCATAACAGTAGCTGCCTTAAGAAGGAGTGGGAAGACTGGTACCTTACCTGTATCAGTAATGTTTAAATTATTAAAGAAATAAGGTAAAAATATTAAAACAGTTTGATAAAGTATGGGTAACTTGATATTGGGTACTCTGCCTGGGCCTGTTTGCTCCTCGCACCCTCTATTGACTGTCTTCAACCTCTACCATGGTTGAGGGTCAGGCTGATCTTTGTAGGTTTCATGTCCCAGCTGCCTATGTCAACTGACTTAAGACTGTTTAGCCACATCCTGAGAGATGGGGCAGGAGTTTAGAAAAGGGAGAAGCCAAGGTATTTTTTCCTTCAGTTACCTCTGCCTAGTGTTTCGTCTCCTCCATGACTGCTGGATTGGCCCATTGTGGTTCCCCCTTATTTTGTGACCCTAGTCGCTGAGCTCTGCTCACACCACTTTTTTACCTTTTATCCTCCCTAGGCTAGAAGTGGCAGGGACTTTTTGCTCTTCTCAGTCTCTGGGTTATTTTATTCCCTTGATGGCTTTTCAGCTCATTTGTCATCTATATAATGAGTTTATTGCTTCAGTTCCTTTCACTGTAAATACTTGAAGTAGTTTATTTGTAAGAGGAACCTTGAATAATGCAGGTACAATGATAATTGTTATTTTATTCAGTTTTCTTGTTTATATTGTAAATATTTTACTTTATGCATACACACACATAAATCAGTCCAGTTGTAGCTTGTCAGCTATTATTTGAACTCAATTGGTACATAAATAATAAGAAACAGAATTATGATTCATTAGTCTTAGTTTATGAGATATTCATATTAATTTCTCAAGAATCGACTGATTGATTGGATTCTTTAGTTTTATGCATAGCCTGTTTGTTACCCTAAAGTAATCTTTCACTCATCCCCTCTCTTGTAGGAATTCAGAGCCTCTGAACTGCTCCGCAGTGGACTGGACAGATCTAAATACCTGTTAGTAAAGGAAGCCAAAATCATTGCTATGACCTGTACTCATGCTGCCTTAAAACGACATGACTTGGTAAAGTTAGGTTTCAAGGTAAAGATTTACATTTAGTTCCTTACTTCATCATCTACTCAATTATTAGTTTTTTGTTTTTTTTCCCTTGGATATTGGCTCGTTTCTATGAAAGTTCTCATTTATAGTTTCTTTAAAATGTCTCTTTTAATGTGAATGATAATATCCCATGTTTATATGATTAGTGAACTTAATTTTTCTAAGTCTGGTTATTAGTATTTTGTCTACTAATTAGCGTAATCATGTGGTTGCTTAACCAGATTCTCATACTTATTAAAAGTTTGTTTTACTTTTGTTGTTTTTTTTGTACTGGGGATTGAACACTCAGGGGCACTTAACCACTGGCATATCCTCAGCCCTTTTTATGTTTTATTTAGAGCTAGGGCCTCACTAAGTTGTTTAGACTGGCTTTGAAATTGTGATCTTCCTAACTCAGTCTTCTAAAAGCTGCTGGGTTTACAGGCCTGCACCACATTGCCTGGAAAGATTTTTTTATTTTTTATTTTTTTGAAATATTTATGTTTTATTATATTTATGTTTTTATTATTATTATATCCCATCTGATTCAAATGTATGATATGTCAAGGTCATTGTACTGTCTTGTGTAATTAATTTATGTTTTAGTTGTAGATGGACACAATACCTTTATTTTATTTATTTTTATGTCGTACTGAGGATTGAACTCAGGGCCTCATACTTGCTAGGCAAGTGCTCTACCGTTGAGCCACAACCCCAATCCCAAGACCTTATTTTTGAAAAATCTCCAAACAGAACTAAAAGCTATAAGTAACATTTTATAGTGTTTGTTAGTTGCAACACATTTATATACTTACATTATTCAAATACTGAATATATATCTAATCCAGTTATTTGTTGATTCCATAAATAAAAAGCTTTCCATATGAGGATAGGGAATACTCTTATAATAGACTGTAAAATAAAATATTAAAAATTATTATGTGACAAAGACAAAAGGACAGCATGATAGCTTGTTAACCTGTGACTGAATTGAAGTACAGTGTAATGATGGTGCCAAAAATTTGAATTTGCAGATTCTTTATGACTTTGATAGTGATATTTACCTAAACTCCAATTTAATACAAATCATTTAACTTCCCTGCAATTTGTTTGTCTATTGAAAATAAGTTTGTGTACTGGTTTGAACCAGTTAGTCGTTCATTTGTTTATGAAAGGGATGGTTTTAAGATATATGATCTCATTGAAAGATATTGCTAAATAAATTCAAGGTGATAGAATTGTTGTTATCTGGAGGAGAGGTTTTTCAGTGCAAGGTAGGACAAATATGACAATTTATTAAAAAGTAGTGTGAACTTACCCCAGGGGTGTGAAGTTACCCTTTTGCAAGTTATTAGTGAGAAGTTTTCACCTGAATATTTTGTTCTTGAGACTGACATATAAAACGTAATTTGAATTTGACATTAAATTATATTAGTTAAATAACAAGGGGAAATTATGCAACCATAACTAGCATTTTATTCTTTGATGCAGTTTTTCACAAATTTCCAAATTTGTGAAATCAAATTTTCATTAATTCTGTTGTATACTTATATATCTAAAAATGTTTAGCATGAGTGATGATAGATTTTTAAAAATATTTTTAATACTGGATATATTTTTTCAAACTTCAGAGTTTAAAAACCTTTGTAGATCTGTTTAACATAAAACAGGCAGCCCTCTACTCCCTTGCGTTGGCCATAAGGCTTTTTTTCCCCCTGACACAATGTGAAAGATTTAAAACCAGAAGGGGATATGATCCTGTGACTGTTTGTTAGTGGCTTAAGGGAAACAAGGTAAGAAGGGAAAGGACAAATGTGGTGGCCTGGACTATAGTGGTAGTTTTGGTAGAAATAGAGGAAAGTAAAATAGATTTTAGAGGCAGTTTTGAAGGTAAAATTGACACACTTTGGTGGTGGATGGAATGCCTAGGTTTGAAACAGAAATGGATTGTTATGATCAGTGTAGGATTCATAAGGGGTAAAAAAAATTACCCCAAAATACTATCTACGGTAAGAATACCAATAGGAATGACATTATATATACTATAAATCAATCTTGATTATGTAGAATGTGAAGAACTAAACTGAACTAAATAGACACTGCAATCCAGGAAGTGATGTGCAAGATCTCCTCAATGTAAATATATTTGGGAGGAGGGGGTCTTTCCTGAGGTTAGAGATGTGATCTGAAATTCTTATGTTTTTGGTGATTGCTGTGGTTATGGTGGTAGTTGTTTGGCTTTTGAGCTATTTTTTCAACAAATTTTTCTTTTCCTTTTTTAGTATGACAACATTTTAATGGAAGAGGCTGCTCAAATTCTGGAGATAGAAACTTTTATACCTCTTCTCCTACAGGTAAGAAATTAAGAATTCTTGGGGACAACATCTAAAAGCTGTATAGTTTAGAAGTACTTGTTTTCACAATTTTCTATTCTCTTTAACTTCATTTTGTTTGCCATTCTATTTTAAGTTTGCAAGTTTCCTTTAATCTATTTATAGGCCATTTAGTAATTTGTTTTGCTTTTGGGAATACTATTCTAAAAATTCATGGTTTATATCTACATAGTAGCTTTGAAAAGACAGTAATTTTAATTAAGGAATTGTTGTTATGCATTTTGAGGGGAAGATGAGTTATATTTTTCATATCTTTTGTTGGAGTTGTTCTGTCTGGAATTGTTTCTGATGTTTACTGAGTACATTGGTTTATTTTATGGCTGTGTTTTTGAGGTAAATGATGGTATATCAAGAACTTTCTTACTGTACAATATTATTTACTATTGAAGCATTAAAAACAATGTGGAATTCTCTGGGTAGTTTAGAGTAGTTATATTTTTAATTGAGTTACAAAAATTTTTATAAGCCAAGCTATCTGGAGCTTGGAATGTGTTTTATTCTACAGTGTATGTTTCAAGGAATAAGGAGGCATGTAAGGTAGGAAATTAAGGTAGGAAAGGTACAGTTTTTATCATGTTAAGTTCAAAGCAGGTCCTTTGCACAATTGTAAAACAAGGTGTTTACTTTGACATTTATCCATTTCTCCTCGGGGCTTCTCTTTTTTTTCTGAAACTCTTCCAAAAGTTGACCTAAGCCTTGAAGACTTTTTTAGATTACCATAACTGTTAAGGTAGGGTAATTCCATTGCTTCGTCAATTCTTCCACCTCCCTTTGCCCACTGTCAGCCAAGAGCAATGGCACCCATACCTGATTCGTATGTTATTCTACAAATTTGCCAGACTCTTCTCTGTGTGGATCTATCTAGTACAGGTCAGTAATTTAAGTTAATAATGCCATTTGATGAAGAAAAGTCTTTTGCACGATAATTTAGAGACTAGCTAATGCACTAAAGGGTAGTATTAATACTACTAAATGGTAGTATTTTACTATTTTTCTACCTTTAATTTCTAGAATCCTCAGGATGGGTTTAGCCGACTGAAACGATGGATCATGATTGGTGATCATCACCAGTTACCTCCAGTAATTAAGAACATGGCCTTTCAGAAGTATTCAAACATGGAGCAGTCTCTGTTTACTCGCTTTGTCCGTGTTGGTGTTCCTACTGTGGACCTTGATGCTCAAGGGAGAGCCAGAGCAAGGTAAAGGTGACAGAGAGAAAAAACATTTCTCTGCAAGACATCAGCTCCATTATCCAAGTATTTGTAAACATCTCTTATAAAAGATTTTAGCTTTCCTATTATCCAGGAACTTGCCAATTGCACATGTGAAAGCGCCTTTGTTGCCTTTTGCACAAAAGCTGTGAATTGACCAAATAAGTTATTGTCTTCATTATATTGAGATTAACTTAAGTGTCTTATAATCTAAAGACTTCACTTGTTACTTTTCCCTTCTTCATGTCCCCCAGAGATAGAGTTAATATTTTGAAACCTAAAGCAAAAGTATACAAGAGTAAAATACAATTCTCACTTCGTAGAGTACCAGCCCCATCTTATAGTTATTTACTTCCAATGTACTCAGTTTACAGGTTCTTCCCTGATTTTTTAATTGATGGCATAATGATAGCAGTTACCTCAGAGAGTACAATAGAGCTACCATTTTTGTAATGTTTTCAGTCTCTTGACTGTTACTTACTTGAAGAGACTAAGGATGAAAAGCAATTATTGCTAAAAAGATGAGAAAAAATGGGTAACATGAAAATTAAAGCACAGCTCCTTATAAACCTCCTATGTGTATTAGAAGGGATTTCATGTTGCTAATCTTTCTTGTTTGGGGTGGGGGGATTTCTCTTTGAAAAGCTTGTGCAACCTCTACAACTGGCGATACAAGAATCTAGGAAACTTACCCCATGTGCAGCTCTTGCCAGAGTTCAGCACAGCAAATGCTGGCTTACTGTATGACTTCCAGCTCATTAATGTTGAAGATTTTCAGGGAGTAGGAGAATCAGAACCTAATCCTTACTTTTATCAGGTAAGAAAAGATGTGACACTTTTTTAAAAAATATATTATTTATTAGTTGTAGTTGGACACAATACCTCTATTTTATTTACTTATATTTATGTGGTGCTAAGTATCAAACCCAGGGCCTTGGGCATGCTAGGTGAGCGCTCTACCACTGAGCCACAACCCCAGCCCAAGATGTGACACTTTTAAGTTCATTTTGCATTTGCCTGGTTGAAATACTACCTAATTAAGTGATGCTGAACCATTTGGCTAGCCACTGAAAAAAGGAAAGTTTAGAGCCCCACCTTATAACACAAAAGCCATTCATTTTCAGATGAATTAAAGGTACATCCAACATACTAAAAACTACTAAAAAGTTAATATATAATGTAAGAAAGAGCTTTCTAAGCTTCTTAACCAAAGCAAAAATTACAAAAGAAAAATATTGATTGATTTAAGAGAAAATTTAACATTTGCAAATAATAGGTTGAATTCTGCATATGTATAACTTGGTCAATTTTTAAAAATTAATCCCCTAACAGAAAAATACAATGATAAGAATATTCACATCACAAAAAGTTAATAGGTTTGTAACAATTATCATTCACTGGATCAAGCAATACTCAGTGTTGAAGTTGTTTTGGGGGAATTCTCAAACAATGCTAGTAGGAAAACAATTTGTAAACAGATGTTAGATTCTCACTTATAGAAATTTATCCTAAGCAAATATTTGAACAGCTTTGCAAAGATTTACATACTAAAATATTCATCACTGCTAAGTATTTTGGAAGTGAGAAACAGTTCAAATATCTACTAGTACGGATTAAATTATTACATATCCATTAGAAATACTGAATAGCCACTAAAATAATAACATTATAAATTTGTTTATTGACAGGAAAAATATTTATGCTGTATCAAATTAAAAATGTAAGTTGCTAAGCATATCTGTAGTGTCTCGCTTGATTTATAAAATGAAACAGCAAAATATATATAGAAATATGTACAGATAATCTATACAAAAAAGATCTGACAGCATATGCACCAAAAAATAACAATCCCTGAGGGGTTATTTTAAATTTTTCTTTTTGCGTTTTCCTAACAGCAATATATTCATTATGTATTACTATATAAATTAGATACCTTGAGTTATATATGAAAAAGCACCATGTATTATTGACTTAAATGTGTATATATCTGTATATATACATATATAGATAGATACATACATACATACATAAAAAATATGGATGTAACTCATGAAAATCCTTTTATCCCACCAAATATTTGCTTGTATTAAATTAGGTTACTATATGTGTATATTTATAGCCTGGGAACATATGTGACCTTTAAGTGATAACTTTAAAAAATATTAGAACCTAAGTAAAATTGGTAATATGTTTCATAATTAGCCACCTTTGGGGATGATTAAGGATTCGGTCAGTATTCTAATTGATGTTTTTATTATGTAATGGTTTAGGGAATTTTCCATTGAGTCAGTTTTGTTACCTAAGCTACACTATAGTATTGACCTGGAACATTATCATCATGTTTGGTTCTCTGTTTGGTTCTCTTATTGATTAGTTCTAATTCTGGATGAGTTTTCAGTATTTCAAGAAATAAATGTATTTTTAAATGATGATGTATATTTTACTTTTAAATATATTTCTGAACAGTTGAAAACATTATCCCCCCAAATAAGAACACTTTGCATTTAAGCAATATATTTGAAATAGTTGTATCTAAAAGGGAAAGGATGGACAAATGAATAAAAGTTACTAATTTGAAGGGGTCTTAATTTATTTTGCCCAAGTCCTAAAGTGTTTGTTAAAATATAATTCAAATTGTTTTATTGTTAATACTTTATGTCTGATCTTTGGGCAGGGTACCAAGTTGAGCAGTGCTTATTTTTTGCATGAATAAAGAAATGGGCTCTTTTTATTAGTTCTCCATATGTATCTTGCCAAAGATACTCAAATCCTGTAGACTGAATTTTAGCCCAAACTTTTACTATGGTCATTTCCACGATTACCAATTTGTTCCTGTGTCTATATTAGAACCGATACTTAGATAAATGTATTTTGCTACCAGTATGGAAAATGGCAAGATTTTATACTGTCATGCGGCTGCTTTTCTCTCCCATCTACCAAAGGACTAGAAAATTTAAATGAAAGATAACTCAGGCTGTGTGTCACCAAGAACCAGAATATAAATGATATTCTGAAGTTCTTCCAGTAATTTTCCCATTGCCTTTGCCTAAAATTCATCTTCTTTGTTTCTTAATGTTCATGTTGTGCTCTCATTTTGCTTTCTTCTTTCTTCCAGTACTTTGAATTTAGTAAACTAGACTAAATAGCTTAGTGTATGATTCTTCACCTTGAAGTTAGACTGGATTTGTACTAGATTCCTGGATAAGTTACTTTGTTCCTTTATATTAAAATTTCTTTTTATAGCTACAATTTCAGTATATCGTATAACAGTGTGATTGTTGTGGTCCCAAGAATATCAGGCCTTCAAGTTGGTGACTTTTGTATTATGACTATGCCATGTATTATACATATGTTCCAAATATCAAAATTTTTATCAGTATTAACCTAGAATAAAATTATTCCTCAATTTTACCAAAGGGTTCACTTGTCTAGGTTATTTGCTTCACTTTTCTTGAGGCTACTAGATAAGCCATTTTCTCTATAAAATGGAAACAAAAAGAAATAAATGGACAATCTAATTATGTTTGCATTACAGAATCTTGGAGAGGCAGAATATGTAGTAGCACTTTTTATGTATATGTGCTTACTTGGTTATCCTGCGGACAGGATCAGTATTCTAACAACTTATAATGGCCAAAAGCATCTTATTCGTGACATCATCAATAGACGATGTGGGAATAATCCATTGATTGGAAGGCCAAATAAGGTAATTTTATGACTATAGTATGTTCTATTATTCATCATTTTGGCAAGATGGAGTAGCTTATATTTATTATGAGTTACTTATACTGCTCCACTTTGCCTCTTAGCTGTCTTCTATTAAGATATGTGAGAAAATGAAATAATAGGAATTATAAATAATTCTGTGGCAATTCTGACAGTTTTACTGCTTTGCTGTGAACTTATATCTCAACTACTAGATTGAGATTTTTGTTGATATTAATCAGAGATGTTTCTAAAACATTTAATTGGAAAAATGGTAGATAACAAAATTTCATTGTAATTTAGGTACTATTACAGAAATATGAACTGAAGCATTTTTTTGTCTTGCAGTGAGATAATTTCAGCAGCTTTTTAGTGTGTACATAGGGGGCTAAGGGTTGTCTTGGAGGATAAAGGAAGTTTGTAAAGTACATTCAAACCTAAGGATTTTTTACAAATTTTTAATGTAATGAAAAATGATAAACAATATCAAAAGTAAATATGATTGATTTTATTAATGAAGGGTTGAATAAATTAGAATAATAAAATATAAATGTAACATTACTGATTATTGTGACTGTGGTAAGAAACATGGCTATGTAAAAGCTATTTAACCTTTTCTTGGAAATCACCCAAAATAACAGGAAAATGGGAGGAAGAGGGGACAAATTTCATTTTTAGTGAGATTACACAGATCAGGTGGCTTGACTAAGATCAGGAAGAAAATATAGGAGGAAAAGAATTCTGTGGACTATTATTCAAGTGCCAGCAAAAACACATTCTGAAGATGAGAAGCATACTTAGAAGGATTAAGTCACACTCTTGCTTTTCAAATGCAGATGTGGGATTGGTTCAAAGAAACCTGCAGGTGAGCTATATTTACAGAATGTAGACTCTGATGTAACCAGGAAAAGAAGGCCTTTTTTTGTGAAAATTATCCATCCTTTAGAAAACAGCCCCTTGCTCACCCTTAGCTAATTTAAGAAACCCACTTATTCAGTGATGAATTGTGAGAGGAAGTAGCACAAGCTCAATTTATATAGGGAAAAAAACGAGTAAAGGAATATTAAAACCTAGACAAGATAGGCTGGGAGCAGTAGTGCACACCTGTATCCCAGCTACTTGGGAGGCTGAGCCAGTAGGCTCACTTGAGGCCAGGCATTTGAGGCCAGCCTGGGTAACAGTGAGACCCTATCTGGAAAAAAAGGCATGGATTTTAAAGTACTTATTAAAGTAACCATCCCATAAAGAAAGGCTACAAAATAAAGAAATCCAATAATTCAGGAAGAAATTAAATGTAAGGTATAAGAAAATAAAACCAGAGGAATTAAAAACAAAATCAATAGCAATACAAAAGAATATACTACAGAGTACTGTAAAAGGAATATAGAGAGTGAAAAAGAAAAATTGATAACTTTGAAGTGTAGAGAGTTTAGAAATACAAAGACCTGAGAAGATGGAAAGATCTCCCATGTTCTTGGATAGACAGAATTAATATTGTCAAAATTGTCAAAATGGCCTACTACCAAAAGCGTTAACAGATTTAATGCAATTCCTATCAAAATCCCAATGACATTCTTCAGACAACTAGAAAAAGCAATTGTGAAGTTCATTTGGAAAAATAAGAGACCCAGAATAACCAAAACAATCCTTAGCAAGAAGAGTGAAGCGGGAGGCATCACAATATCAGATCTTGAACTACTACAGAGCTATAGTAACAAAAATGGCATGGTATTGGCACCAAAATAAGCATGTAGACCAATGGTACAGAATAGAGGACACAGAAACAAACCCACATAAATACAGTTATGTCATACTGGACAAGGGTACAAAAAACAAACGTTGGAGAAAAGATAGGCTATTCAACAAATGATGCTGGGAAAACTGGAGATCCATATGTAGCAAAATGAAATTAGACCTATTTCATCCTGCACAAAACTCAAAGTGAATCAAAGACTTAGGCACTAGAACAGAGACCCTGTGCCTAGTAAATGATAAAGTAGGCCCAAATCTTTATCATGTTGGCCTAGGATCTGACTTCCTTAACAAGACGCCTAAAGTGCAGAAGCAAAATCAATAATCAATAAATGGGATGGATTGAAACTGAAGAGCTTCTTCTCAGCAAAGAAAATAATCAACAACGCGAAGAGAGAGCCTATAGAATGGGAGAAAATCCTTACCACATACACCTCAGATACAGCATTAATCTCCAGGATATATAAAGAACTCAAAAAACTTACCGCCAAAAAACCAGATAACCCAATCAATAAATGGCTAAGGAACTGAACACACACTTCACAGAAGAAGAAATATAACCAATCAACAAATATATGAAAAAAAATGTTCAATATCTCTAGCAATTAGAGAAATGCAAATCAAAACTACTCTAAGATTTCATCTCACTCCAGTCAGAATGACAATCATCAAGAATATAGGCAACAATAAGTGTTGGTGATGATGTAGGGAAAAAGGAACACTCATACATTGCTGGTGGGACTGCAAATTGGTACAGCCACCCTGGAAAACAGTATGAAGGTTCCTCAGAAAACTTAGAGAGGAACCACCATTTTTGACCCAGTTATTACCACTCCTTGCCATAATACCCAAAGGACTTAAAATTAGCATATTAAAGTAACACAAGCCCATCAATGTTTATAGCAGCTCAGTTCACGTTAGCTAAACTGTGGGACCAACTTAGATGCCCTTCAACAGATCAATAGATAAAGGAAATGTGGTATATATATACACAGTGGAATACTAAGCCTTAAAGAAGAATGAAATTATGTCATTTGCTGGTAAATTGATGGAGCTGGAGAATATTGTGCTAAGCAAAATAAGAATCAAGAAGATGGAAATAGGATGGTTCTGGGGTTGGGCTGCAGGGTGGGTTCAGTGATGTTAATAAGGACCAAGGTTCATTTCATCCTTTTGCCCAACCAGTCTTAGTGTGTGAACCTAGCTCAGACAAGCTATCCACCTGGTCAGGAAAGCAACAGAATTTCCAAGTGTAAAACCACACATTATAACAGAGAACTTGTATCTAGACTATATATAAACTTCTATAAAAATCCTTAGACAACATAATACAAAAATGAGAAAATTATTTGAACAGATACTAGAAGACCTACAAGTAGCCAGTGAGACCCCCAAAATTCTTTACCATCATTAATTGTCAGAAATGTAAGTTAAAACACAATAATAATTCAGTATTTCAGTAATTTCCTCTATGTAGAGGGATTATAAATTACAGTTTGTTAGAGGATAAACAGAACATTTTTTTTTTAAATTGGATAAAAAAGAACTAAGGGCCTAAATGTTAAACCTTTCCGAATTTCCCTATTTGTAGGTGTATTCTCAAACTGAACAGAAAGTATGATGAAGATTATTTGTTATTATTGTTCTTGTTTTCTTTCATGGAAGAATGCTGTGGACAAATACTAGGAATATATAGATTAATAAATAAGCATACTGTTACATTTCTGAGCATTAAACTTGACACTACCAGTTAATAAGGCAAACATAGTGCCTGCTTTCGTGAAGCTTGGCAGTCTAATAGGAGGAGACTCTTGAATTCTAAAAATAATTACTAGCAAAGATAAAGACAGGTGTCTTAAGTGTGAATAACTTAAAGATATAGGGTATTGGGGTTTCTGCAATCTGTTTAACAGTATTCACTAACTTGCTTTTACAATTCCAATCATGACTGTGTTTCTTTGGGGATTGATTAAGAATAACGTGATTGTTTCTAGCATATTATTTAAATAATGTCTAGAGTCTTTTTATTGTGGTTTTGAAAATATACCATGTTTCTCATTATGTCTTCCTAGGTGACAACTGTTGATAGATTTCAAGGTCAACAGAATGATTACATTCTTCTTTCTCTTGTACGAACCAGGGCAGTGGGTCATCTGAGGTACGTAGGAAAAATTTTTAACGGCTTATTTAACTTTACTATTTCAATTTTGAATCTCAGTGGCAAAGTAGTTTCTAATCTTTACGTTTAAATATATATAATTATAATTATTATAGCAACTTCTGGTGCTTTTTGTTGGAATGTAACAGTATCAAATTCCTTGTGTAGTTCACCATTGTTTTTGCTTACTGGATTTTTTCCTCTTAAATGTTTTAGTATTTTAGCTTTTTTATTCTTTAATTACTTTTAAAAATAGAAATTTTATCAAAAAATCTTAATCTATGTCTGATAGAAATAGTATCAGAAATTATATCAGGTAAAACCTATCTTCTCAGAGAAAATTTTTCATCATGTAGGATTCTGATTTTCCTCCACATATGTACTCTTTCAGCTTCAGTGTTAAGGGATAAAAGAGCCACTTGTTCTCCTAGGATTGAGAATTGTTAAAACAAACAATAATCTATTTTTATCATTATTTGTGGCATATTTATATGTTAGAGATTTATGGGAATAATATCTTTTGATTACAAAGCAGTCATTTAGTTTTATATAAACCTTCATCTTATGTGACTTTATATAGCAAAATTATATGGAGAGTTTGTTATTTTATTTGGTAGATATAAAAACAAGTGCCCCCCCAACTCTTTTTTTTTTCCCCCCCCAACTCTTGTATGTTATCATTAAATCAAGATCTATTTGGAGCTTAACCTAGTTATGAAATTCCATTAGCCCAATAACTTTTATGTAAGAGTAAGCAAAAAATATAACATTTTAAGAAATTGCTTGGAGATAACATTTTTAAATAGTTTATTTTTGCTTATTTATTGAAGTGTCAAGCATGTATTTAAAGTCTTTGCTTTTCCAAAAGCCATTCCTTTCCTCACTGACATTTATAATTAATTAGCCATCATTATGGTTTACGTAATTAAGATCTCTCAAAACTTTATGGTATGAATTTATGAACGCTGCTTCCTCTTCTCCCTCTTTTCCTTACACTGTAGTACCATGCCTCTTTCAGATTCCAATGACTTTAGTTCTCTGCTGTTCTTTGCTTTATTTTTCTGAAAACTTTTTAAAAGGGTTTTTTTTGATGATGATGAAACTTTTATTGTGCAAGTCAGCTTTCTATCATTGTGACAGAATACCTGAGAAAAACAACTTAAGGGAAGAAAGATTTTGGCTCATAGTTTCACAAGTTTTAGTCTATAGTCACTTAGTTCTCTTGTCTGTGGGCCTGTGGTGAGACAGAGCTTTATGGGTAGAAAGGGCATGACAGAACAAAGCTGTTTAACTTTATGTGGCCAAGAAGCAGGGAGTGAAAAAGAAAGGGGCTGGTGTCTCAGTATACCCTTCTTCTAAAGTTTTCATCACCTCCCAATGGTAAGTACCAAGCCTTCAACATAGCTTTTATATGGACATTCCAGATCTAAATTATAACATTATGAAATGAAGAGTTAAAACAGAACCTGATTTCAGTATTTTCTTGCATATCAATTTTCTAAGTAAAAATACCTTTATCCAAATAAATTAGTCTTTGTATTTGCCAAACTTATCTTTTGAAAATCCAACTTCTTCGTCAGGGTATCATTACGGTGATGGTGGTATTAAAGTATAGATGTATCAACTATTTATGATTCCCATTACCCAGGTACCTTAGTCTAAATATCTTAACTAGACTTATCAAAACTCTATGTAGAACTTTTTGGTTTCTAGGGCTGATCCTTCATATCCTTTCTTTTATAAGTAGGAAAATATGTTTCAGGAGACTAAGGAAACCTACTTACTCTTTGGTGTATTTTATCTTTTAATAATAGCTTCATTGAGATAGAATTCATATACCATAAAGTTCACCTATTTTATGTTAGTTCTTTTCATTTTTTGAGACAGGGTCTTACTAAGTCACTGAGAGTTTCAGTAAGTTGCCCATGTGGCCTCTAATGAGTGATCTTCATGTCTCAGGCTCCTGAGTCACTGGGATTATAGTGAAGCACCATGCCCAACCAGTTCACCTAGTTTAAGTGTATAATTTAATGGGTTTTTAGCTGCAGAATTATACAGCTAACTCCACAATCAATTTTAGAACATTCTCATTGCCTAATCAAGAAGCCCTATAATTACTAGCATTCGCTCCCCTTGTGTTCCCTCAAAACCCTTGATAACCACTATTCCACATTCTGTGGATTTTTGCCTGTTCTGAGTACTTAATACAAATGAAATCATGCAATATGTGTTGTTGTTGTTTTGTGACTGGCTTCTTTCACTTAACATAATGTATTCAAGGTTTATTGATGTTGTAGGATGTATCAGTACTTCATTTCTTTTTATTGACCCATTCATCAGTTGATAGATATTGGGTTGTGTCCACTTAGTGACTATTATCAATAATGCTGCTATGAACATCCTTATACAAGTTTTTATGTAAGATTTGTTTTCTCTTGGGTGTAAACATAGGAGTGGAATTATTGGGCCATTTTTAATCTCTATAACCTTCTAGGTAACTGGCCATTTCTAAAGCCAGATTTGGACTTTTATCTTTGCCAGAGTATCCATTTTCAAACTTGTTTTGAACTAAAGTACTGCCATATTCTTTTATCCACACCTTTTTTCATCAGCATAGACTAATCGTGTGAGTAGGAACCAGATTGTTAGCTTCAGTTCCAGAGTCCTTTTTGAGGACATTGTGGAACTATTTAGAAGCCAGAATCATGGAACACTTCTGGTCCCTTTTCCATCATTCATTGTTCTCTTACCCAGCTGATTTGTACAGTTTAGGTACCAGTGGATAAGCTTGTGACCTGATAGGAACAAAATAGTAATGCTAGAACTTTCTGTTATTTCTTGGAAGGGGTTCTTACAGAGTGCTGACTTTGTTGCTGAACAGTGTTCTTTTGCATCCCTCTTCTGGGGACCAAGAAAGAAGGTGGTAATCCCCATTGCCCTGCTTTCAAGATAGAGCTCCAAGGAACCCTGCCCACTCATGCTTTTTGTCTTTGTTTTTTTGCCTGGTAGTTTGTTATGTTCATAACGTTTGATCATTCATTTATCAATTACTTTCAGAACCACCCATTTTTTGCCAGTGTGCTAGCTTCTCAAAATATAGTAGTATAGCATTCATGATCTCTGCCCTTATGGAGTTTAGAATCCATTAAAAATATCATGGGAAGAGCCTACCCTTGAATCTGCAGATTTCAGTTCACCTGTTCATATATACAACAGGTGTGACACAAAAACCTCTTCACTGGAATACGACACCGAGGATTGGAGGGAAGAGTTCTCTCAGAGCAACTGGTGCAGTGGCCACTGTAATTGCACTGGTTCTTTGTTTGTGTTTACAGATAAAGCTTTCTGGATGTGAAGGGGAGAACTCAATATAATATAGTGATTGCCTTGGAAACAACAGTTTAAGTCACCTGCTTCCACCACTACTCCTTTTTTCCTGTGACAATGATGTTGAAACCATAATTTCCTTTAAAATATTTTTGTGAGAGCTCATGCTAAATAGTTCTAGTGTTATACATCCAGTTAGGGAAGTGGAAGTACCCACCTATAGCGTGATTCTTTGGGGCTCTCAGAAAATATGGAGAAAATAAAAAATTATTTTTATTTTTAATATAATAAATTATTATTATAAAACATTGTGGGAAGAGTTACTGAGGAAGTAAAATCTGACTTTGATGGAGCCTAAGAATTTGGTAGGCAAAAGAAGTAGAAGGAGAGCTGGTTCAGATTGACTTAACAGCAATAATACAGTAAATTGGTCACTGATAATAGAGTTACTTGGAACTTCTAAATCAATACATTGGATTTTTTTTTTTTTTGGTGTGTGTGTGTGTGTGCGTGTGTGTGTGTGATCTTCTTCCCTTTCCCTAAAAAAGCCAACAAGAGATTAATAATAATGCAGTAACTTTTTACTTGGTCTACTGATCATGTAACATTGATTGCCTGTATGAGTTACCCAATATATTAAGTTTTAAGAAGCTTTATGTTTTTGATTGCCATAGCTTAATAGAACTATTTAGTGGAGTCTGTGGGAGAAAAAAAAAGAAAAAAATAAGCTGCATAAACATGTTATTAATCTTGAAGTGTGTCAATTATTTTGTTTGTTTCACAAGGGATGTCCGTCGATTAGTAGTGGCCATGTCGAGAGCCAGACTCGGACTTTATATCTTCGCCAGAGTGTCTCTCTTCCAAAACTGTTTTGAACTAACTCCAGCTTTCAGCCAACTCACAGCCAGACCACTTCATCTGCATATAATTCCAACAGAACCTTTCCCAACCACTAGAAAGGTAGGACTTCTCTTTGTTGAATAGAGAAACATTTTTCATAATGGGAAACTGGGATCCTCTTACATATAACTACATTAGCCAGGAACATCAGTCACTGATTTAAAATACTCCTTATACCAAGGGACTCAATTAGATTTTCTACATAAAAATAATATCAACTAACATTCATTGATTTTTACCATGTGTCTGGCCATTTGCTGTTAAGTAAGGGAAGTTAAGTAGTTGTAGCCATGTATCTAGTAGATGCAAGATACAAGATTTGAAACCCCATGCAGTCTGATTCCAGAGTCCATATGAGTAATCATTTTGCTATGTATCCTCTCTTCTGTTTTGTGAGGAGAACTAAGCTATATACTCGATAACAGAATAATTAGTAGTTTAGTTCTTAAGAGCTTATGTTCAAAAGAAATGGGGTCAGGAGAGCACATACTTTTAACAAAAAGATAAATGCAGAAATGCCACTCCCTTTTCCTACCAGCCTCCCTCTATAGATAAGCAGTCTTTTTAGATCATATTTTATTCTCTTTGCATAAAGGAGCAGATACTTGTTTATTTTCTTATGTCATTTTCTTTCTTTCTTTCTTTTTTTAGTTTTAGGTTGACACAATATCTTTATTTTTGTACATTTATGTGGTGCTGAGGATCAAATCCAGTGCCTCATGCATATTAGGTGAGAACTCTACCACTGAGTCACAACCCCAGCCCCTCATTTTCTTTCTTATGTGGAGGTTAGTTAGCATACTACAGACTTTGAGGTTTTGCTTTTTTCATTTCATTTCATTAGCATTTTTGGCTGTGGAGGGGGTTCTGGAGATTGAACCCAGGACCTTGTGCCTGCAAGGCAAGCAGTCTGCCAATTCAGCTATATCCCCAGCCTCCATTAGATTTTAAGTAAAATTATTTTAAATATTCATGGTATACTTCTTACCCCCTTCTTTCAAAAAAAAAAAAAGAAGAAGAAGAAGAGGAAGGAAAAAAAGAAATTGTGTATTTTTATAATAATATCAAGTATTTTTCTTTAACTACATTTTTATTTTTTTAATTTTTTTTAAGAAATGCTGCTATGGATATATAGGAAGAAAGAATAGTGGAGAGGTTTGATGGGGTGGTATCACATAAAACCCTAAGTGCTAGCTAGCCTTTGTGTTGTTGACACAATCCCTTATCTCTGTTCTTCTCAGTTGTTTATAAACCAATTATTAGACAATTGTTCATTTTAAGATAGAATCCTTTTTCTCTATTAATTTTTTAAATTTGAATTTGTTATATATGACAGAATGAATTACAATTCGTCTTATACATATAGAGCACAATTTTTCATATCTCTGGTTGTACACGAAGTAGAATCGGACCTCCTTTTTCTTCATATATATTTTTTGCCTTTATTATTTTCTGAATTGGTCCCTATCACAAGAAAGGGTAAAACTTTATAAGCATTTTATTAATCGGAAAGTTTTTAATCTTTATTCTAGGGCCAATTAGAAAGAAATATAAATTTTGTATTGTCTTCATTTGCTTTACTGTTTTACACTGCTACAGTAATATTTCTCAGATTGTTATGAGACACTACTCTATAAGAATCACCTAACCCAGATCTATTAAATCTAAATCCCAGGGAGCTTGAGCCCAGACATCTGCAATTTAACAGACTCCCTAAGGAGGACTCACATAGACGTTACAAAGTGTGCAAAAGTATATTTGAATATTTACCACCATGACTAATAATAATGTGTTAACTTCTTCTATTTTAGAAAAATATAAATAGGAAGAATAATTTTAATATTTTCTTTCTGAATTATTTTATGAACACCTTTGGAGCATACACACCACTAAGAAGTGCTACGTTAGGGACTGGGGTTTTGGCTCAGCAGTAGAGCGCTTGGCTATCACGTGTGAGACCCAGGGTTTGATCCTCAGCAACTCAAAAATAAATAAATAAATAAAATAAAGGCATTGTTTCCAACTACAACTAAAAAATAAAATATGAAAAAAAAATAAGTGTTACTTTAGACCAAGTTGATTTATTTCCCTGTTCAAACTATTTTCTCTTGTTAATTCTTCTAAAACCCATATTACATTTACCAGCTCAAAATTATATTTAAAAACTAGTGACTCTTAACTTTCCTAGTGTGTAGCTTTTTTAGATTTAAATGGAATCATTACTTATTGGACTCTACACTTGTATTTTACTTATTTATTTATTTTTAAACTATGCTTAAATCCTTCAAACCCAGCGTCAATTACTAATAAGATACAAAAACAGCCTTCTATTGATATGTTAGTCTCTAGGGTTTTTCACTAGAAACTTAACTTTCTTTTTGCCTTCTTCTAGAATGGAGAAAGACCATCTCATGAAGTACAGATAATAAAAAATATGCCCCAGATGGCAAACTTTGTTTACAATATGTATATGCATTTGATACAAACCACACATCATTATCATCAGGTGAGTTCTCTTAAAATTGATTCTTATTTTCCTTGTTATAGAATGAATTCTTCTCTTTTGTTAAATGAATCTTTAAATTCCTTGTGAGGAACCAACTAAAGTAGATTGTTGTTATTCATGTAGTATTCATGTTTTTAAAACATGTTTAAGTACATAACATTTGGCATACAATAAGGTACATGTGTTTAAAATGGACAATTTTAAATATTGACACACACACACACACACACACCTGTCAAGCCATCATCACAGTCAAGATAATGAACATCCATTATCCTCCCAAAGTCTTCTTGTGCCACTTTAATCCCTCCTAGTTATCCTTCATCAGTGTCCTTTAAACCTTCTGTAGGCCACCAAGGATCTGCTTTCAGCCATTAGTCTCCATTTTCAGGCATTTATATAAATGCAATCATACAGTATATATTTTTCTTCTTTGTTTTTTTGACTACTTGTTACTTAGCATAATTGTTTTGTATTTCATTTGCATTCATGTTATATATATCAATAGTCCATTCCATTGTGTGGGTTTAGTGCAGTTTGCCCATGCACTTATTATAGGCATTTGGGTGGTTTAGTTTGGACTTTAACAAATGAAGCTGCTATAAACATTCTTGTACAAGTCCTTGCACTTTGTCTTGGTAAATATCTAGAAGTGGAGTTGCTGGATAATATGTTAAATATGTCTAACTTTCTCAGAAACCACAGCTCTGTTTTTTAGAATGAAAAACAGTACCACTTTATACTCTCTCCAGCTTTATGAGAGTCTAGGAACTCAACATATTCACCTATACTTGATGGAGTAGGTCTTTTTTTATTTTAGCAATTCTAATGTGTAGATATGTAGTGATTTCAGTGTATTTTTAAATTTTTATTATCCTAATTTGAGTGTCTTTTTATGTAGTGATTTGCCATCTGTATGTCTTTAGGGATATGTCTGTTCAGGTCTCTGGCTCATTTTTTTTAGTAGGTTGTATGTTTTAGTGTGTTTATTGGACAGGTGTTTATGTATTTGGTGGCAAGTCCTTTATTAGATATGTGTTTTACAAATATTTTTCTCCTAGCCAGCTGCTGTGGCATATGCCTCTAATATCAGACTCAGGAAGCTGAGGCAGGAGGATGGCAAGGTAGAGGCCACACTAGGCAACTTAGTGAGATCTTATCTCAAAATAAAATAGGAAAAGGGCTGGGAATGTACAGCTATCCCACTCCTTGATCTATACCCAAAGGGCTTAAAAATAGCATAATACAGGGATATAGACACATCAATATTTATAGCAGCGTAATTCACAATAGCTAAACTGTGGAACCAACCTAGATGCCCTTCAGTTTATGAATAGATAAAGAAAATGTGGTGTGTGTGTGTGTGTGTGTACACACATACATAATGGAATGGTATTCAGCATTAAAAAAATAAAATTATGGCATTTGTAAGTAAATGGATGAGTTGGAGAATATAATGCTAAGTGAAGTTAGCCAACCCCAAAAAACCCAAATGGCAAATGTTTTTTTCTGATATAAGGAGGCTGATTCATAATGGGGTTGGGGTGAAGAGCATGGAAGAATTAGACAAAGTCTAGATAGAGCAAAGGGGAGGGAGAAGCAGGGAGGAGCATGGGAGTGGGAAAGATGGTGAAATGAGTTGAACATTATTACCCTAAGTACATGTATGAAGACACGAATGGCATGAATATACTTGTGTACAACCAGAGATATGAAAAATTGTGATCTATATGTAAAATATGAATTATAATTCATTCTGCTGTCATATATAACAAATTAGAAAAAAATAAATTTTAAAAGGGGGGAGGCTGGGAATGTAGCTCACTGGTAGAGTGTCCCTGGGTTCAATCCCCAGAACTACACACACACACACACACACACACACACACACACACACACACACAAATTTCCTCTTACTCTGTAATTTGTTCTTTCTTTTTTTAAGTAAAAACTCACTTCTAAATTTTGATGTTCAATATATAGAATTATTCTCCTATAATTCATGCATGTCCTAAAAATTTTGTAACCAAAGTTACAAAGATTTTCTTCTAGCAGTTGTATAGTTTTAGGTTTGATACTTACAAGTATGATATATTTTGAGACTCTTTTTTGTTATGATTCCAGGTAATGATGAATGTTATTCATTTGCATGATGTTTCAGCATCATTTCCTAAATAGACTATTTTTTTCCTCTGTTGAATTGCATATCAGATTAGTAGTCAAAAAAAGCAGTTGACCATATTGACTCTTATTTCTGGACTCTCCGTGCTACTGTATTGTTAAGTATATCTGTCCTCTTGGGCATTATATTACCTTTATTATGGTAACTTTATAGTAAATCTTGAAATTAATCAACATGAATACTTTAGTTTTATTCTTTTTCAAAACTATTAAATATTCTAGCTTCTTTGCTTTTCAGATTTAAAGTCATCTGGTTGATTTTGCCAAAAAAGCAGGTTGCAATATTTTTTATTTATTTTTTATTAAATCCAGGGCATTTAACCACTGAGCCACATCCCCAGCTTTTATCATTTTTTAATTTTGAGATAGGGTTTCACTAAGTTACTTAGGGCCTTGCTAAGTTGCTTAGGCTGACCTTGAACTTGTGATCCTCCTGCCTCAGCTTCCAGAGTCCCTGGAATTACAGGCATGCATTGTCATACCTGAATGCTGCAATTTTTAAATAGTATGTTTTGAAGAGTAAAATTGTTTAGGATCAATGTGGGGAGATTAACATCTTAAAATATTAGTCTTTCTTTCCATAATATGATGTATATCTCTCCATTTACTTAAATCTTCTTTGGATGTTCTCATAGTGTTTATAGTTTTCAGCATATAAACCTTACAGGTATTTTTTTTTAGCTTTTTTGATATTTCATAATTTCCAACAAGGTAAACAGAGGAAGAGAGGCTATGTTTTAGCTACAGACTGCCGTGATGTGCAGAAGGCTGAGCATTTATAGCTGCTCCAGTTTTCAAGTTGAATGAGACCAACGTCTTGTGCCCTCCATGCCCCTCCCCCATCCCCCTGGCCTTTTTTCTTGGCTAGGATCCTCTCTACCTCTCTCAAGAGTTCTTCACTGAAGTTGGTCCTTTCTTGAGTTGGTGTGGCAGTCAGTCCTAATCAGCTATTTTTCTAAGCTTTACAGCATATTTCTTTGCTTAAAAATCAAATAGCTGTTCATGTTGTTTTCCTCTCTTGAGAATTTAGTATATACTTTGATCCTTAGTGTATGACATCATATGCCTTTATTAGCAGACCTCAGGCATTGTTATCACAGGAGTTACATTCATAATATAAAATGGCCAGCAGTATTTTGGAGAATTCTAGCATAAACAGTATCTACTGGGAAAATGATATTAATATGAGAACTTGGCTTTGTACCACAGTGAGGTTTTGTTGTTGTTTTGTTTTTTCCTTTCAACTCATTGGGGTTGTCTTTTTTTTTTTTTTTTTTTTTAGACTTTCTTACAGCTACCACCTGCGATGGTGGAAGAAGGCGATGAAGGTCAAAGTCAAGAAACAGAATTGGAAGCAGAAGAGGCCATGCTCATTCAAGCTGATGACATACCAAGTCCACCTGATGTCAGCTGTAGTCAAGAGACCCTGGCCTCTCAGCCTGATTCCACCCCCAATCAGACTGAGACCACTGCCAGTCAGACAGGAGCCAATTCCAGGCCAGAAATGGTTACTGCTTCTGTGCCAGGAGCTGTAACTACACCAGTAAAGGCAACCACCCCTCAGGATGCCACATCTGCCCCAACAAAGACCAACTAGCCAAATTGTAGCCCTTTTTAGGGAGGACATTCAGTCATAAAGTCTAAGTAAAGTTACTTTTGGTATTTTACATTTGCTTCTGCTATTTCAATGGCACTAACTAATGTGCAGTCCTTATTTTTGTTAACTGGTTGTCCTGTATGTATTTTTTAATTATATGTATATAAACAGTTCAGTTTAATTTACTTAAACAGAAAGGCAAATAACTATTCCTTTGATATTTGATCACTGAGTGTATCTATCCTAATATGGAATTAACTATAAGTGCCCTTGAGCAAATGTTCCAATTAGAGAGGAAATGGTTTCTTCTGTCATGCATACTGTGGGATATTTAAGTTCCATCATCGTTGATTTACCTTTTGTTTTTTTCTGTAAAGACATTCCACTAAGAGCCATAGGAAAAAGATTTCTGTAGTTTATCAAAGAGGTTTCCTTCCCAAGAATCTCAGAATGTATCAGAATCACCTAGGTTTGTTGTTTATTCTTAGAGTCTACCTCAGACTTGGTGAATCAGACACTCAAAGGTTACAACAGGTCCTGCAGTCTGGTAGTGTTTGGGTTACTGGCAGAGTAGCATCAGGTAAGGCTGGTAAGGTTAAAGCAGGATTTGTCACTCAGCTAAATAGGAACACTCTGGGCAGAAAGCAGGACCCAGACTCTGGGCAACAATTCAGCTGACTTCATTCTTTGTGCAGGGTAGAAGACTCCCAGTGTGGAGTTCTGTTTTGTGTCATTTAGTTTTCTTTGTGGATAACAATCCACAAGGAGACCTTCAGGTGTGAAGTGTATCATATTTGGGAGGGTAGAGATATTAGGACCTTCCTATTCTAGTGTGATTAGCAAACCACTAGCCTTGGTTATCTTTGAAGTTTATTAGAAATGTAGAGATATTACCTCTGCTCCAGACCCATTAAATCTAAACCAGTATTTCAACAAAGTTCTCAGCTGATTTATTTGCATTTTCTGGTTTGAGAAGCACGATAATGAGATTATTGTGTTTTCTGACTACTGACCTCTGCCTATAAGGACTGTAAATGGGGTGGCCAGAGCACAAGAGATGGATATATCTATATAGGGTAGGGGAAATTGCACTTATTCTCTTTACCCCATTTTGATCGTCTGCTAGGCTGGCTGAAGGAGCATTTCCCCAAAGCATATCTACTTAGAGAATTTGAGGAAAGAATAAGAATTGTACCTCTCATCCTGGCAGTTTAAAAGGATGGTTAATTCATAAAGAAATTAAACCCAGAAAATTCTATCAGTTGTTTTTTTTTTGTTTGTTTTGTTTTGTTTTTGTTTTTTTGAGTGACCAGTGTTTGCTCAATTCTACCAGGCCGTTAGACACACCTAACACATCTAACTTCATTAGAACACTGTATAAATGTTAGGAGAGGAGGGGGAAAGTGAAGGGAAATGAAAAGGAGTGAAATGTGATAGAAATTGTACTAGGAATCCCTGGTCTATTTGTTATCAGAGTAAGGATCAAGCCAGTCTGTTACATAATTTCTCTGATGTAAGCATTTGAAAGCAGGTGTTGTGGGCATCTGTATGAGGAATAGCACTCAGAATTATTTTCATTTGTGAATATATGGTATCAGGCTAAGCAAGACAGAAAGAAGCTTTACTGTATTACAGTCTTTCCTGGAAAAGATTGATTTTTTCTCTCTACCCTTTAGAGGATATGAATTATGATACCTGCAACCAAAATAAACAAACTGCTAGGCAGCTTTCTCAAACTGTTTTCCAAGTGTCACTTAGAAAATCTCTCTAACTGGATGACCATACTTTTTTCTTTGCTGCTTGATTTTTCTACCACACTTTAAAAAACAAATGCAGGCGGAAGATGGGTAAGCCTTTTGTCAAAGGAATTAAAAACTGGATGAGGATAGGGGGATTAAATTGTTCACTCACTGGGAAGGCCAGAGAGTTACAGAAAATCATGGAACTTTTAAAGGAATTTAAGAGATTCTTTTTTAAAACAATGAGGAAACAGAATGGAGAGGCTTAACGTGGTTGGCAAATGGGGCTGAGGGCAAAGTTAAGTCCATACTCCTAAGGCAGTGTTTTATTTATATTTCAAATCTATAAGAGTGATGGCTTTTACCAATTCAAGAGTTTTCTATATAACATGGGATTCTACAGACAGGTACTAGAGTCGTTGACTATTGCAGATTAGTGTTCCCATTGCTCTCCATCCTGTTTTTCATATTTGAATATGTCATGATTTGGAATTCTATTTTTAAAAGGAGACCAAAAAGATGCATGCTAAGAGATTGAGCATGAAATGAAGCAATTCAAGTACTGAGACTTTTTTTCCCCCCACAAAATGCTGAGTTAAGAAAGTTCATTACCAGCAGCTGAGAAATAATAACTCCATTGATTTGGGCAAATGAATGAGTAGATCTAAATAAACATTATCAGGACTCTTGAAGTTGGTGTGATGGTAAAAGTTGAGATGTTTTGCTAAATACTAAAAGAAAACTGCATAAGTGGATCATTTGTGTTTTTATTAAAAATGAAATTTTTATGATCAAGAAATAGCATGATATTATAAAGCAAACTCTGCACTCACCCTGACCTTGCTTAAATTTCACTTAATTTGCTTATCGGCCTTTGATTTGAACTTAGGCAGGATTTATAACTTTATAACCTCTGTAAGCCCCAGTTTTCTTCATAAAAACAGGGAAGAAATCTGCTTGGGGTTGTTAGTTTGTTTTATAGAATAATGTTTATGAAAAGATCCAGCTCCTAGGCATTCAGCAAATATGTCTCTCTCCTCATTTTTCTCCAAAACTTTGTGACAATGTAGTTAGTAAGTTGTCAACTAATCCTTTAACTTGACCACCTACCTATATCCTTATCCAGAGAGCACAGAGGATGATGAAGGGGACATGTGATGCAATTGACATTTGAGGATGTATCAAAGATCAGGTCTTCTGGTTATAGACTTCTCAGTCAGTCCATTAGAGCATTGAGGTTAGTCTCTGCTGAAACTAACATGCTCACAGAATAGTGTCACCAGAAGGATAGTCACTAGGTTCCATCATGCTTCTGATACGTGGAACTAATCAGGTCTAACAGTTGTGAATCCTGTACTGCCCCATCCTTAAATCATTTGTTATTGGATTTTCTTGGTTTTGTGCCTTGAGTGTGCTATTTTCTTATTTTTCAGTCATTCAAATGGTGTTTTCAGAGCTGTTTCTTCAATTAAATCAAGATACAAAAGATTTTTTAAAAATCCTTTTGTAGGAGCCAGAAGAGCTGTAAAAGATAAGCAGTGCTTTCTGTAGAAAACTCTTGGCCATTAGCTTTTGTAATTATTAGGCAATCATTGATGTTAATAGATATTTAAGAATGGTGGAACTGGAACTATACTTAAAGCCAGGCTTGTAAGTGAAGATATGGGACGCTGTATTTCCTTTACCCACTGGTACTCTTTAGTGCCCAAAAAAAGCTTTAATTAAATGGGATCTAGAAGCTTTTGATGCTCTGGTTTTTCTTCCTAGGAACAAACCCTAGCCTAGTCCCCTGGAGCGAGGCTCAGAATACAGTCTGGTTACCACTGATAGTGTGCCAACTTTATTCTCTTAGCCCTCTCCCTTTGGCTTACACAAATTGCTGTGGTTGGTTAAGCTCTTTCACTTACATACAAAGTTTCTGGTCCTATTACTGTTCAGCATATTTCAGAAAATACTATTGAAAAATACTCTGAAAAACCAATTTCCTTGGTCAAGTATGTTTGGGAAACAAAATGAGTTATTATTCCCTATTTGCAGAATCTCACTTGGCCAAATAAAGGTTCAAGAAGTTCTGCTGGAAAGAAGCATGTTTATAATGTACCATTTCTCAAACTTTAGACCATAAAACATTTTTTTTTTTTTTTTTTGGTACTAGGAATTGAACTCAGGGGCACTCTATCACTGAGCCACATCCCCAGCCCTATTTTGCATTTTATTTAGAGGCAGGGTCTCACTGAGTTGCTTAGCACCTGGCCATTGCTGGGGCTGACTAGCCTCAGCAATCATCCTGCTTCAGCTTCCTGATCCACTGGGATTACAAGCATGCACCACTGCACCAGGCTATTTTTTTTTTAATTAAAACAACTAATGTAACCATTTCCTCAGAACACAGCTTAGTAACCAATATCTTTACATCAGTGAGAACTTGGACTCATCCTTAAATTGAGGCTGAAGTGACATCTGAAGAAAAAACTAGAGGTGAGTGATTTGTATAAAATGTCATATTATAGTGTAATTTGTTTAGTGTCATGTGGCATTAATACCAACATCCTGAAATGGCAAGTTAATAAGTTTGATCAATGAAACATGACATTCCTTCATGTGAGCCTCCTAAGAAAAGGTCACTGAGCTTTCTCTGTTTATGTTTTAATTTGAGACTCCAGAATTTCACACCAAGCTTTTCTTCTTATTCCTATCATACAGTGAGAGTTCATATTTCCAATGTGTCTTGTGTTCTCCATTATTTGTTTTTTTTTAAAAAAATTATTTTATTCATTTTAGTTATTGATGGACCTTTATTTATTTTTTTATTTATATGTGGTGCTAAGAATCGAACCCAGTGCCTTACACATTCCAGGCAAGCACTCTACCCCTGAGCCACAACTCAGCCCCTTAAGAGTTTGTTTGTTTGTTTGTTTGTTTATTTATTTATTTATTTATTGTACCAGGTATTGAACTCAGGGGCATTCAACCACTGAGCCACATCCCCAGCCCTATTTTTGTATTTTATTTAGAGACAGTATCTCACTGAGTTGCTTAGCACCTCGCCCATTGCTGAGGCTGGCTTTGAACTTTTGATCCTCCTGTCTCAGCCTCCTAAGCTGCTGGGATCACAGGTATGCACCACCGTGCCTGGCTAAAAGTTTAAATTTCTGAAAAGAAATTACTTACTTGACATAGCCAGTAGATGTGAGCCAGAAATAATGGAAGAAAATTAAGACAAATATAAAAATGAATACAATTTCATTACATTAGATTGAAATACAATTTCAAATACATTTGAATGTTAAACACTGAGGATCCACAGATTTACCTTGCATCAGACAAGTTGAATTCTCTCTTGCTTGATCTCCAGAAATGACTGTCCCCACAATCTCCTTCCCCTCCATCTATGACTTCACATTGCACATTCATTTCATTCTTGTGTTGCAATTTAAGTTGAAGACCTTGACAATAACTCTTTGAGAGATGTCTGATTTAATATAAAAAGATCTTTTGAGAAGCTGAGCTAACTTTTTTCAAAAAATTCATAGTTCTGAATGGGAAGTTGTTAGTAAAAAACAGTATCTGCTTTAGTTCATTAGTTCACTTTGGCCATGTTTATTTGGTTGGCTTTTTCTTCTGGTTTCACAAACTGGACTAAAAGTGCTCTGTTACTGTATTCTCATTACCCTTGGCTTTGAGTAGCACCTTCCAGTATGCTAGTTTCTTTTAATCTCGACTGCCACAAGAATAGCAGTGGAAGAGGAGTAGACTTATTTAGTTTACATTTCATTTTGCTTTTGGACAACACTTCACTGTAGTGTTTTGAATTTTGTATAACAAAATGTTGCAAGATGTCTTCGCAACTCTAATTCTTGTGTTTGCAGACTATTGAGTACCTTCTGTGTGCCAGGCAACTAGGCTAGAAGCAACCTATTGGTTTATAGATAACACTAAGAGTGAATTGTCTAGGCCACCACAGTTGATTGAACTGGGACTAGAACCAGGCAAATTTCATACCATGCTGTTCTTTAAACTTCCTTGAGACACACTGAAATAGAAGCAGCAATACTGAGGTTTTCTACATAAATAAAATGAGCCTACTAAGAATTCCTGTGAGACTTAGCATACCAGAGAAGAGGCTAGTTTGCCAAAATAAGGATGGGAAATAAGAGGTCTGTAGAAAGAATGCTCCAGTGTTTGCAAGGTTTGTGCTTTTAGGAGAAAGCCAAATTAATATTTGTTTTAGTTTGAAAAAATGTATGATAACTCAATGGGAAAGAACTCTAGTGTGGTACTCTGTTCCTCCAAAACACTAATTATCCTAAAGCCTTTTGTATTTTAAACAATGGAAGAACAGGTTAAATAGCAATACTCTTAAAAAGAGTGTGGTGTCTAGGAAAGGGACAGATAGGTTTGACTAAAATCAACACTTCAAATTACCATTAATACACCAACTGGTTTGGCTTTCCAATTAACTCCTCCTATCACAAACCTAAGCACTTGTGCATTTGAGAGTTGAAAAGAATATCCATGTGAGTTAAAGTTCCCAAGGGTATAAGTTTATTTGTAAAACAGTTTGAAGTAATATGCTCTTAGAGAATTACAGAAATAAGGTTTTAAAGGCTGTCATTGCACATCTTGATCTAGTTGAACTCATTAAAAGAATAGGCTCATGTGGGCTAGCAGAGAATATGTCCTCTACTGAAACACAACCCTATTTTAGGGGAAAAGTCATGAATGTCAATTGTCATTGACACTTCAATAATTTAATTGTTTTTAACTTGCCATACTACTATTAATAGTAGTATACTCACGACTACTGTTAATAATAGTCGTCGTGGGTAGCTGGATGCAGTGGCACATGCCTGTAATCCCAGCAGCCCGGGAGGCTGAGAGGGGAGGACCAGCCTCACCAAAAGCTAGGCACTAAGCAACTCAGTGAGACCCTGTCTCTAAAGAAAATACAAAATAGGGCTGGGGATGTGGCCCAGTGGTAGAGTGCCCCTGAGTTTAATTTCTTGCCAAAAGAAAGCATTTATTTTGTCTCTGTCAGTATTGGTTTTGACTATTTTTTTTTAATCTATATAAGTGGAATCATACAGAAAGTGCTTTTCATGTTTCCCTTTTCAGATACACTGATCTTTTCAACATCAAGTAGGAAGGAAGGAGTCAGTAGGTTAATTAAGCACATTTTCTCAAAAGGCCTTCCTCTCTCTCATTGTACCAGAGTGTCATCTTTGTCACAAATATGTTCATTAGCTATATTCTTCAAGATTATTGGATTTTTTAGTCCTTGTGGACTCTTAGGAGCATCTTGTCAATTACACATCCTGCTGGGATATTTATTGGACTACGCTGGATCTATAGTAATTGGTGTCTTTACTATTTAGGAATAAGGTGCCTCTTTCTATTAGGCCTCCTTTAATTTTTGACTATTATTTGTTAAATTTATTCCTAAATGGTTAATTTTTTTGCTATTATAAATGATTCATTTTATTACATTTGTAATTGGTTGTTAATCAGCATATAGAAATATGACATTTTTGTATGCTTAGTTGGTATACTTTGTTGAATTCATTATTTCATATAGTTTGTAAATTAATTACTATTATAAAAGTTTTATTATCCTCTTTGATCTTTATGCTTTTTCTGTCTGTATGCCTTTCATTTACTTTTTCTACCTTATTGATCTGTTGAAAACTCTCTAGTGTTGAATGGAGGTGATCAGAATAAGTACATTTGTTTCTTCCCAGTCTTGGAGGCAAAGATTTCAATGTTTTATCATTGAGTGCAGCATTTGTTATAGGTTTTTGTTGAATATTTTAGGCCTATTTTTATTAATTTCTATAAAAATAATATATTTTTATTAATTTCTATAAAAATAATATATCAGATTTTAAGTTTCTATACCTAGTTTACTGTTTTTAAGTCAGTACCCATCATAATCTAATGCTTTTCTCTCTTTTGCTGTTAGTAATGACTTACATTAATTCATTTTTCTATTAATTTTCTCTTATTTAAAGCCATAAATTGCCATTCTTCCCATGTCTAGTAATTTTTATTGGGATACTGGACACTACAAATGCTGTGTTGTTGAATGTTTGGATTTTGTTTTCTTCCTTTAAAGAATGTTGAAGTTTGTTTGGGCAGGTCGTTACTTGTGGATCAGATCTGTGGGTTTTATTAAGCTTTTTATGCTTAAGTTGTGACCCATCTGTGATTCCTATTGGATGCCCCAGGTTTTCAATGAAGTGTCTCTAGTAGGGGTAGTTTACATGTAAATATTTCCTCATCTTGTGTGAGCTCTGAGAATTGTATAGCTTATCACTGGCATTCCTTGCTTGACTTCTGGAGTTTTATCCCATACACTAACCAAGATTTGAGAGCATGCCTCTTCAGATTTCCAGAGCTCTTTTTGTGTAAAATACTCCCTTTTCAGTTAACTCTGCCTAGTAAATTCTAGCCAGTTCAGCCTCTCAACCTTCTAATCCCTCAAATTTGGTGAAACAGCTAGCCTTCTACTTGGGTTCTCCTTTACTATGCTGCTGACTGGAAATCGCATCCAAGCAAAAAGCCAGGACAGTTACAGGACTCACCTTGCTTATTCCTTTTTGTTCAGTGATGAGACCTGTTTTCCTGTGGTTCTGTGTCTGAAAATAGTTGATTCACATATTTTGTGTAGTTTTCTAGTTGATTATAGTGGGACGATAGATTACTACTTTATGAGCAGCATTAGTTTTTCATATATTAAAGCAAGT